AAACAAAATCACAGGAAGATGGGTGGAGCTGGAGGCCATTATTCCTAGCAAACTAATGCAGAAGAAGAAAACCAAATATTGCATGTTCTCACTTATAAATGGGAGCTAAATAATGAGAACTTATTAACACAAAGGCAAGAGACACTAGGGCCTACTTGACGGTAAAGGGTGGGAGAATAGAGAGGTGCGGAAAAAATAACTATTGAGTACTAGGCTTTGTACCTGGTTGATGAAATAATCTGTATAATAAACCGATGTAACATGAGCTTACCTATATAACTAAGCTGCACATGTACCCTTGAACCTAAAAGTTAAAAAAAAAAAAACTGCTAAATATTAAGAAAAACAATACTAGTAAACATTTATTCAATAATCCCAATTATGAGCTTGACTAGGGGAATATAATGAGGCTCACAGATGGTAATATATTTAACCAAATGGAATTATTCTAATTTTTAGACAATGTTTTCTTTGTAATACATTTAAATAATCATATTCAAATATTTAATACCCTACCTATAACAGAACTTACTAAAGAATAATTTTTGATATAAAGTCAATTTGTCTTAAATCCTTTCTAAAAAAATTATTAGAAATTTCATGGTAGAACAATTGAACGGTGGAATTAAAACAGCTTATCAATGGCCTTACCAACTTAATGAATGGCACTATGGTTATTATTTAATATTACTGGAGCGGCAAATAACCTATAAACCTGTAAAATTAGCAATGCATTAAATGTCATTTACAAGCACCATCTCCTACCACAGATTATGTTTAGAAATGCCTCTATCTCTAACAAAAATCAAACAGATCTTAGAACATACATGACCATACATGTATGCTGAATTTCTTTTACATTCATTTCTTCTTCTTTTTTTTCTTAAAAATACCTAAGTTTATTTTCTTTTATTTTAGATCCTTCTTAGGCAGAGATCATTATTTACTTTCCTGGGTAAAAACAGTACAGTTTTAGAAACAGACTTAATTTTTCAGGGGGTATCCTAACTACCTATTTCCACCAGATTGGGCAGGAACAAAAAGTGATTTAGGGTGTTAAAACGTATCGATGGACAACCAGTAAAGATATGCTGAGTATCATTGTAGTCAAAAAACTCATAGCTCTTAGTTAATACTTTAACTAAAAGGAGGTGATGACCAATTTTCCAACAAACAAATACCTGAAGACTTTCAAATTACTAAGAAAGGGGGAGGAGGAATACCAGACAAAATTACTATTTTTAAAAAAAGAAAACCTCTTTTGGCAAAATGTAAGCATGAAATGGGAACCTGCCTCTTAATCTTTTTTTTTCCAATAATATATGATTTAAGGAAACGAAAAACAAATTACTAAATATATTTTATACCACCAAAAGTTTTAACTGTTAGTAAATGGAGCATAAATAATTTTACAATTAGACACCGGATAGATACCTGATGAAAGACAGAAGAGGGGAGGAAGAGCTATTTAATACTAGGGAAAGAAAAACAAAAATGCCCAACAGAAAACTCCAACATTTCATTTCATTATGCAGTAGTACAAAATCTTACTTTAAGAAATAAACAAGTTAAAACAAGGCCAGGCGCGGTGACTAACACCTGTAATCCCAGCAGTCTGGGAGGCCGAGGTGGGCAGATCACTTGAAGTCAGAAGTGGGAAGTTCACTGTGAAAACATGGTCACAGCATCACCAACATGGTGAAATCTTGCCTCTAATAAAAATACAAAAAATTGCTGGGCGTGGTGGCTCATGCCTGTAGTCCCAGCACTTTGGGAGGCCAAGGCAGGTGGATCACAATGTCAGGAGTTCGAGACCAGCCTGGTCAATATGATAAAACCTTGTCTCACTTAAGGAAAAAAAAAAAAAAAAATTAGCCAGGTGTAGTGGCAGGCACCTGTAATCTCAGCTAGTCTGGAGGCTGAGGCAGGGCAATCACTTGAACTCGGGAGGTGGAGGTTGCAGTGAGGGGAGATTGTGCCACTGCACTCTGCCTGGGCAACAGAGTGAGACTCTTGTCTCCAAAAAAAAAAAAAAAAAAAAAGTAAAGCAATTATATATTCAACTTTATTATATTGCTCACGTAGTGTAGCCCCTAAAAGGCTGAGAAAACATGGCCAAGTTAAAACATTATATGCCTAATAAAAAATCTTGCAAAGTTAATCAGGTGCTTCATGGAATGAAGATTCTCACTGCCATTACTACACTACATTCTCAAAGATGATCTTCAACTGAATCACAGTGCTAATAAGTTATGCATCCAACAGACAACTGCTTAGGAAAGAGATAAGCAGAAATATTTCCAAACACAAACTAATAATACAAATGCAATTTCTCAGGAGATGACATACAGCTGGGCATGGTGGCACGTGCCAGTAGTCTCAGCTACTTAGGAGGCTGAGGCAGGATGACTGATTGGGCCCAGGAGTTTGGGCCCAGTCTGTGTAACACAGCAAAATCCTATCTCTATGCAAATCGAAACCACAATTAGAATGGTTATTAATCAAAAAGATAAAAAAATAATAGAATGCTGGCAAGAAAGTGGAGAAAATGGAACTCTCCTACACTGTTGATGGGGATGGAAATTAGCATAGCCATTCTACAAAACAGTATGGAGGGTTCTCAGAAACTAGAACCACTACCAAAAGATCCTGCAATCCCACTACTGGGTTTACCCAAAGGAAAGAAAATCAGTATATCAAAGGGATACCTGCAGTCCATGTTTACTGCAGTATTATTCATAACAGCAAAGACAGAGAATTAACTTAAGGGTCCATCAATGGATAAATGAAGAAAATGTGATATATATACATAATGGAATACTATTTGGCTATAAAAAATTATAAAATTCTGTCAATTTGCAGCAACATGGATGGATCTGGAGATTTAGGTTAAGTGAAATAAGCCAAGCACAGAAGGATAAATATCACATGTTCTGTCTCACTCAGATGTGAGAGCAAAAGAAGTTGATTTCATGGTGGTAGAAAATAGAATGATAGGACAAATGTGGGGGGAAACAGCAGTGCACAAGTGAGAGAAGTTGGTTAATGTGTGCAAACCAATAGTTGGCTAGAAGGAGTAAGTTCTAATGTTTGATAGCAGAGTAGGATGACTATGGTTAAAAATGTATTTTATGTTTCAAAATATCTAGAAGAGATGACTTTAAACATTCCCAAGACACAGAAATGATAAAAACACAAGGCGATGGATATTCTAAACACCGACTGATCATTACATATTCTATGCAAGTAAAAAAACCCCATAGATATATACAAAATATTATGAATCAATTAAAAAATTACAAGCAAATTTAAAAGAAATATTTTGATAACAAACACCTGTAATATTAACAAACAATTTAAGTAAAAATGGATAAATACATATTCTTAATGAACTGAAGTCACTGCCTATAACTGGCTTGGCTTGCACAAAGTAAAATTTAAGGCAGAAATCGTAACTATTAGGAAAACTACATTTACTTTTAAAAATTGTAAAAATCTCTACTATGACTTTTAAATAATAGCGAGAATTTGTCTCCCGCTTGCAAAGTGTGCCTTCTTTTAAAATGAAAAGAATTAAAAATACATACGAAGTTACAGACTAATTTAAAAAATACATTAATATTTTGACAACCTTTGGCACTTAAAATGACATAAAAGAACTATATGAAACACCTCTAAAATAAAGAAAAAAAAGCAAGCTGACGTTAACTCTGGGTCAAGACAATTTTCTGAGTTTCCACACGATGTTTTTTTAATAGCAAACGTTATTCGAACTTGTAAATCCATTACTAAATGAAGACTTGAATCTTTGAAAATCTCCACTCAGCCAGAGAAATTCATTTATTTCTATGCTGTTACTGTTTTAAACTTTGTACACTAGGAAATTTCTAAGAGAAAAGCCATGGGTTCAATTATCTTACAAACCATCCCCGAAAAACACAACAAGCATAATCTCCTCCCCAGCTTTTCTTTATAAAGAACTGAGCAAGTAATTCAACTACCCTTTTTTCAGTTATCCTTGCTTTGAACTCTCCACTACACACATACCTCAGACCAAAACTGACCCTGGACAAGGCTTTTAAAGCTGTGTCTCCAGGAGACTCAAGTTGCATTTCGCGGCCAGGCCTGGGAGCAGTAGGCACCCCCCACCCCCGCCCAGTTTTCAGACTTCTCCTAGCATTTCGCACCCGCTTAGTTCGAGTGTGAAGAAGTGGGGACCCAGAACGCTGGGCCCAAAGGAGCAAAGCCAGGGCCTACAGCGCAGCATGGTCACCGAGGCGGCTCGCGCGGTGGGGAGGCAGGAGACACAGAGAACCGAACGCCTGGGGCCAGGGGCATCCTGTGTAAACGCAGAAGACGCTCAGACTTGGAGCGCAAAGCCCAGGACCCCCTTCGCTGCCTTCTTTGCCCTCCCTTCCCCCATGCTGGAGAAGCAAGGCCCAGGCCCAGTGCGGGAACGGAGAGGAGGTAAACCAGTCCTGTCACCGCACTGAGAGAGGCTGGAAGCGGCACATGCTTTACGGGGAGAGGCCGCGGCCGCCTCGGCCGGCGCCTCGAAAACTAGACACATCTCCACCCCCAGAGTTCGTTCCCTGTGCCTCACCAGGTCGTAGTCCTCCTCATCATCGCACATGAAATCATCCTCCATGTCAGACATCTTGGCCGGGAGGGGGAGGAGAAATTGGAGACAACCTCCTCCCACAATCCTCCGCGGCTCAAAGACGTCACTCTCAGCTTCTTTCGCCTTCCCGTTCCTCTTAGAGGAGCTGTTTCCTGCCGGAACCAATTACCTCGACATCTAGAGGATTCGGTACGACTCCAAAAGGGACTGCACCACCCACCTTTTCCTGCGAAGCGATTGGTGCCTTAGCAACTAAACCTAGCAACTGGGAAATTGTCAGGGGCTGCAGGTCTCAGCTGAAGGGCGTCAGAAACCGCTCGCATCGAGCCATTTCCAGCCTCCTGAGTAAGGGAGCAGTGTTCTCCCTTGCCTGGGACTCTGGAAGCATCTCATTCCGATGAAAGTAAGGGACAGCTTAGGACCAGAAGCCTTTCGCGGAGAAAAGGCTGACATGCCCGTCCTATATGACAGGTATTATTTCTGCTGTCATCGTGCGTGTGCATTTAGCTCACACCTTACGGTGGATTATCCTAAAATACTTGGGAGTACTTTTCAGCAACACAATTTACACTTAATGTTTGTTATATTTGTAGGAGACAATACGGTTCTGTGGATATCCCAAATTAGTTATACAGGTATCAGTTGAGTTGCCTTAAATCTTAGTTGTTCAACGAATTATAAACTGACCTTTACAGCCCTTGGGACCAAATTAAGGTAACAACGACTGGTTTTTAAAAAATACATTACTGGGAACCTGAGGGTATCATGTTATGGGGGGATGGGGGCTGCGGTGACTCGCAGGATCAGGAATTTCAACCTAGAGAACCGAGAAAAGCGGGAAATGCGCAAGATGAAGGCCTCTCCTCCTGCAGGCATCCCTCTACCAACAGCCTCCTGCGAGAGCAGATTAGTCTCTATCCAGAAATTAAGGGAGAGACTGCTCGTAAAGATGACAAGCTGCTATCATTTCTTCATTTCTAAGAGATGTATATGTTGATTTCAAAGATCCTGTGTCTTCCATGCTGGTAAAAGCTGCTGAAACATGTCAAGAGCCAAAGGAATTCAGATTTGCCGAAAGGTCATCACTTTGATATGATAAATATTGAGAGCATCCCCAAAGGCATAATTTCCATGGTAGAAGCATTGACACTTCTCAATAATCATAAACTTTATCCAGGAACATGGGCTGCTGAGAAAATAGCTCAAGAATACCATTGAGAACAGAAAGATGTGAATTCCCTTTTTAAATGTTTTGTTGAAGTCAAATCTTCCCTCTTGAAGACAAGAAAACAATACAATCGAAATGAAGAAAATCACAAAAATTTCCTATGTGTACTCCTCATCCCTCATCCTGTATGTTTTCTCATTTTTTCATATTAAATTATGTTAATTACCAAGTGTTTAATGCTCTCATTGTGAGAGCATACTCTTAATATTTATTGAGCTCCCTGACTTTTCAAGATTGCCATAGAATGTATTTTGTTTTCTTTTAATTTGGTTTAGGTATATTTCATATGTACATGTCAGCATGACTAATCAGCACATCTGTAACTTTATTATAAGTAAAAGTTAATTTGTTATTTTAGGCACATCATACCAACTTTTCAATTGGTCATATGATGCCTTGGGAAATGTGTTGAATCCCTCATTTAAGTTTTACTTTCCAAGTTAAGTGTTTAGTTCATTCTTCATATGTGATAGTGAAAGTAGAAGCTTTCCTGACTCTTAAGACTGACATTTTCTTGTCAGCAAAAAGAGACTGGATAGCAAGGTAGACAAACAATGTTTCTCAGAGAAAGACGCACAGTAGAAAATAATGAATCAATAGAATCTAATTAAAATTACTACTCCTGGGAATAAGAAATATTGAGGATTTATTTTATTTTGAATTGGTTTTAAGTATGGAATGATTGTCTTTACAGTTATAAAATGTGATTAATTGTGTTTACAAAATGTTGGGAATTTCTGCTTTGACAAACAGGTAAGTCCCATGGCCTTCAGAGAGGCAGGCAGAAGTGGAAACTTTTTTAACATGGAAATAGAAAAATTTAAAGAATAATTGAATCAAAAAAACACGGCAAATGAAATTTTGTGATTATATATTGTTTCGGATGTTAACACTAGAGAGAAGAGAGAAAAAATAGCAAGTAAAGGCAGAGAACAGGATCATTACAAGGGACCTGAGAAATTGCTGCTTCATCAATTTTAGCAAACTTAGCATAGCATGTACCAGTACTAGGATCTTGAGTGAGGTATGTGAGTTTAGCTCTGCCTAATATGTTACTACTTGTGGGATCTTTGGGAGACTATATCTTCTTTGAGATGGAATTTCTTCTATAAAAAGAGCATAATGCTACCTTACTTAAATTTAAGGGTTATCATGAAGATAAATGAAATAGTAAAGGACTACAAAGGACCAAGCAAATATGGGTTATTTTTTGCAGTGGAGAAACAAGCACCTGGGGAAAATATATGACCTAAGGTTTTTATAGTTTATGACCTAACCAGGCCCAGAATTTAGTTTTTCAAATCCTATTAGTGTGTTTTTTCTATTGTGCCAAAAATTGGCACACCTCAGAGAAGGGAAAATGTGTGAATTGTGGTTATACTGGGGATAGCAGTGTATTTCTGAGGGAAGATAGGCATCACTACTTCCCAGAGATGCCCCTGAAAATGATATAGAAGATGCTTAAGAATTCAACATGATGGCAGAATGAGGCATTTGTAGTAATGCTGAGAACAGAAAAATGAACTAAGTGGAAAATTTGTAAGCATGCTTTTGAATGTAGATTTGTTATGTGAACAAACTACCTAGTTTATTTTTAGTTCAATACAATAGTTGTTTTAAGAAAACATGAAATAACTTCTCAATATAAAATGCATTTAAAAACTACTGTAAATCAGTCAAAACTTTATTCCCTTTATCCTAATGGTCACTAGTTGAGTCACTAATACTAGTACACTCTATTTCTGAGCCATCTTTATTCATGTCTACATTGTGTGGTTGGGCAGCTGTTATGCGGGGTCACCTGATAAAGAACTTCTTCCCATACCATTAAAAAAACACACACATTATTGTTACACAAAATCATTGGCAGAATTTGACATAAAGAAAACAATGAAATAAAGGAGGAAAACCGCTTTTCAAACAGGTAGCATTTTTCATGTAAACTTCCATTTCTGTCCACGTGAATCCACAAATGTTATGCAGTTAAGCATAGGTATAGATTTGGATTCTTTTTGCATCTATGTAGCAGGATAGGTCAATGTTTGTTAATTTGTTTATATTTAGAGACCGGATCTTGCTATGTCGCCCAGGCTGGAGTACAGTGTACCATCATAGCTTACTGCAGCCTCAAACTCCTGGGTTTAAGCGATCTTCCCACCTCAGCCTGCTCAGTGGCTGGGACTACAGGTACATGCCACCATTCCTGACAAATTTAAAACTTTTTTTTTTTTTTTGTAGAGATTGGGTCTTACCATGTTGCCCAGGCTGGTCTTGAATTCATGACCTCAAGCAATCTTTCCACCTCAACCTTCCAAAGCATTGGTATTACAGGTGTGAACCGTATTGTCCAGTCTTAAAATATATTCCTGATAATAATTATTTTAGTGGCTGTGTAATAATTCCTTGTTGAATGTACCAGTGTACCATGACTCATGCCATTACCGTTATACATTCAGAGTATTGCAGAAATAACGCATTTTTAAGCAATTCTGCAGAGATTATCTTTGACATTTTATTCTTTAAAAAATAATTCCATCTGGGCGCGGTGGCTCATGCCTGTAATCCCAGCACTGTGGGAGGCCAAGGCGGGTGGATTACCTGAGGTCAGGAGTTCGAGACCAGCCTTGCTAACATGGTGAAACCCCATCTTTACTAAAAAAAAAAATTAGCAGGGCATGGTGGTAGGCGCCTGTAATCTCAGCTACTCAGGTGGCTGAGGCCTGTATAAAATTAGTTTATTTTGGACTACTAAAAAAATTTCAAAACTTTAGAATTGGTTATTTTTGAACTAATGCAAAACAATATATTAGAGGCTGAGTGCAGTGGCTCAGGCCTGTAATCCCAGCATTTTGGGAAGCTGAGGCAGGAGGATCACCTGAGATCAGGAGTTTAAGACCAGCCTGGCCAACATGGTAAAACCTCATCTGTACTAAAAATACAAAAATTAGCCGGGTGTGGTGGTGGGTGCCTATAATCCCAGCTACTTGGGAGGCTGAAACAGGAGAATTGCTTGAACCTGGGAGACAGAGGTTGCAGTTAGCCAAGATCACGCCACTGCACTCCAGCCTGGGCAACAAAGGGCAAAACTCCTGTCTAAAAAAAAAAAAAAAGATTCTGCTCTTTTCTGTATTTACTGATGTTCCTTAACATTTTACATTTTGTTAAATTTAGGTTATCTCCCTATTAAAACTATTTACAAGTGACAGTGATGACTCCTGTTGCTCAAACTTAAACCAAAATGAACATCAAACTAGGATTTATTAGGCCTCAGAAACAAGAAGATATAATTGATTCATTTGAACATCATAAAGAGGGACTGAAATAATAGTGAAAAAGCAGCCCAGAGACCAGAGTAACTTTGTTTCTTTGATGTATCATTTACAGTAATAACCCAAAGGAGTGCCAAGGAGCTGCTACTCTTTGGCTAAGCTTTATTGTCCATTCAGACTTTGTCTCCATGTTTCCTTCCCCCTTCCTCCTGTATACGGAAGGTATACAAAACTAACATGACTTTCTTATACTATATTCCTTATACTAGGCATACTAAGTAAGCACTTTGCATATGTTATTGTCTCTTTAAACCTTTCCAACAATCCTTATGGGGTAGAAAAATAGTATTTCCTTTTCAATTTCAAGAAGATATTCCATTAGTTCTTATTAGACATATCTAATAGTGAAAATATTTAAACATTTGACCAGGCGCAGTGGCTCACGCCTGTTATCCCAGCACTTTGGGGGTCTGAATGGGTGGGTCACCTGAGGTCAAGAGTTTGAGACCAGTCTGGCCAACATGGTGAAACCGTCACTACTAAAAATACAAAAATATAGCTGGGTGTGGTGGCGGGTGACTGTAAACCCTGTATACAAAAGGGGGAAGGAAACATGGAGACAAAGTATGCATATGTATATAGAAATTCTGGAGCAGCAACTTACTCATGTATACAACTTGCCGAATCTCTCTAAGTTATGCTACTACCCCTAGTGTGCGGAGCATGTTGGCCCAAACTTCCTCAATCAGGAAACTTTGAAATGAATAGGTGTACTGCTAGCTGTCTTCACTTGGGTTTAATCTCAACATTTCAGAGGTGCAAAGTGCACTAGATTGAGAGTTAACAGATCTGAATTTTAATTTCAGTTTTGCTCCCAATGATCGCTGTGATCTTAGGCACATCACTTCACCTTTCATCATTCATTCACTTTATCTTACCTATTCATTAAAAACCAATCTGCTTGCCCTTAGTTGCTTTCTAGTGGTATTGATGGTGGAGGTGGTGAGATAGACAATAAATACATAAGCTAATAGAACTATGAAGGAAGGAAAAGTAAGTGATGCAGTGGGGATAATGTACTTTTTAAGATAGGGCATCCAGGATTTCTTGAGGTAAGTGAAAAATGAAGAGGTTTAACTAGATGCTAAGGGGTGTTGCACATTAAAAGGCACGTATTTCTGTCTTTTCACTGCTGTGTTCTAGGAAGGCCCACCAATGCCTCTAACCTGTAAATAAATGCAAATCTATTTAAATCAAGTGATACATCAATTTTATGTTGCTTGATTTGGAAATAATCCACAAAAGAAGCAATAGCTAAACATTTTAGTGTTGTTTGGGGAGTAGCTGCTGGACTATAAACACCAAAACCATAACTTAAAAACAACAAAAAAAACCCCCAACAACGCTGCCCGAGACAGACCGGAAACTAAGGTGTTTACAAGGCGCCAGGTTATGACACTGTTCCCAGACATCCACAAGGCGCAAAAAGAAAATCTCACTAGTCAGCTTTGCACGTGCTCTGCGCTGGGTGCTCCTGCGTGTGCCTAGTCCCTCCCTGGCTGAGTCGAGGGAGGAGGAGCCAGAGGCGGGGCCGACTGGAAGCAGCCACCTCAGCGAAGCTGCAGGATTTCCGCAGGGCAGGAGCTGGTTACCTCCCGGAAGAAAACGGCTCCTGTCAGCGAAGTCTCGTGATTGCTCTGGGAGCTTTGCTTAGCCACTTCAAATTAAAGAAGAAAGAAGCATCTAGCGAAATATGGCTACAGAAAGCCCAGCTACGCGTCGGGTCCAGGTGGCAGAACATCCCAGGTCGGGGAGAGGCGACGCCGGGCTTTGGGATCTCCTGGGTTAGCTAGGTGTAGATCGGGTCCACAGCATTTAGCTGCTCCCTTGGGGCGCTGCTTTTGGTCCCAGGGAGTAGGCAGAACCCTTGGGATTCTATAAGGACACGTAGCTGGGCTTGCAAAAAAAAATCACGCCGCAAACACATTCCACCTTGACTGCTACCAAGGGTTGTATGCTTTTTGCTTAATCCATGCAGATTTTTCTTTTCCTTTTCTTGCTGTAATTAGTGCACTCTTTCTACTGGACTTAAGGAGAAATGCCCAAATCAACTTTGAACCCCTCACATGCCAGTTGATACTGCTTTTTAAAAGTCTTCTTTCTAAATATTCATTGAAAAAAACCCACAAAAACTGTCTTGGTCTCTGCATCCCCTTAAAAAAAAAAAGCACGAGAATCTCAACTGTCACTCAGGAATTAATTTGCTGGCAGTCCCTAGCTACAGGGTAACTAATAGTTTAGTAGTGTAGTGATCTTTTCAATTACAGGTACTTTGTAGAAATACTTCTTTCTGACTAATAGGGCTGAAATCTCATAAAATGAAATCTCTCACCTGCTACATTGGCCAAGGGCTTTCCTGAGGTTGGCTTCTCTCTGCCTTTGCTGTTTTTAGCTTTTTTTCTGTTACCTTTTTTCTCTGACATTAAGTCCTTAAGCTCTTCCTACCTCGTGGTTTATTATCACCATGTGTCAGTTGATATTATACTTTACTACAACTTGAAGATATTCTGTCATCCTTAAACCAGCAGTGTGTCTTTAGTTGCCAGAAAGAAGCATAATTCCTTACAAAGTACAGCACAGCTTTGGAGTACTTCTCAATGTCTTTGAATGTTTTAATGTACTTAAGAGGATCTTGCATAGCACTGTTGCCTTTATATGTCTGAATGAATTAAGACACACTGTTAAAGGCATGCTTCCAATAAGATTCATGAGAAATTTGTTACATGAAAATAACCGGATCCCTTGTAGTTTAGTTGTTTTTTTTTTTCTTTTTAAGTCTTGCTCTGTTGCCGGGCTGCAGTGCAGTGGCATGATCTCCGCTCCTAGTTTCAAGCCATTCTCTTGCCTCAGCCTCTTGAGTAGCTGGAATTATAGGTGGGCGCCACCACACCCAGGTATTTTTTGTATTTTTAGTAGAGATGGGTTTTGACATGTTGGCCGGGCTGGTCTTGAACTCCGGACCTCAGGTGATCCGCCCGTCTTGGCCTCCCAAAGTGCTGGGATTACAGGTGTGAGTCACTGAGCCTGGCCTGTAGTTTGGTCTTTTACATATAACATATCCATGTGTAAATTCCTAATATGTTTCCATTTTATATGATTTTAATAATAAAGATCAACATTTATATCTATATTTACCCTGTTTGGGGGAGGATGGTAGTAACAAGTATAGGTACATGTACTAAAAGTGAAGAATTGTTTACTGAATTTCCTTAGTGTTCCTTCTTGCTTTTCATGATTTTTATATTGTTCATTCATGTGACAAATATTTGTTGTTATTTATTCTGTGTTATCCACAGAAGAGATCATAATAGATAAGGTCTTCCAATTTCTTGTTTTTCATTTGTGTGCAAAATCTAATTATTAGCTTCAAGCAATGTTTTATTTGCAGAACTTTTGCAGCCTCTTACTCATTTTAAAAGGGATGTATTTTGTTAAATCTAAATAGTCTAATCTGTAACTTCACCTAACCAGTCAAATATTGCAATATGCTGAGAAGGAAAAAAATAA